AATCACATGGATCCATGGATCGAATAAAAAAAGCCTAAAAACATGGAAACACTATTCACCAACTGAATTTTTTTTCTCGACTTTTCGTCCGATTTTCGCGGTAAATGCAATCTCTAAAATATGTTTTCTTTCTCTTCATCAACAAAGGTTTTAGGCTCATTTACAACATTTTGTTTTATCTAGGTTTCTCAATAAGGGTAAATACATAACGTGCATAGTAGAACCAGTACCTTCGAGAAATAAAAATAAACCAAGTAAAAGCATAAGATAACACCTGGTTTTATTATTTTCATTTATTTTGTAGAATTTTCATCTAATATTAAACTGTCGTACTGTATTTCGAGACACGAAAGTAAGACACTTTGGCCTCTTGGGTTATAATCCAGCAAGTCGACACTTAAAAGTTCCTCACAAATTGAACTATCAAGGTTTGTTTTTCCATTGACCGCCTTACCGCCAATACGCAACCCGAGTAACATGTACACATCCTCTAACGTCACGGTACATTCACCGGTTGGAAAAAAGAAAGTGTGTGTCTCTAGGCGACATCTCTCTTGTAAAGCTAGTATAAACTTTGCACCAACCGAGTAAGACATGATTTTGCTTACATGTCTGAAATCGGCGAGCTCAATATAAGGTACAATTAATTCGTCAGGGGCAACATATTCACGGGCACGAGGACAAAACCTAAAGACATCCTACAAAAAAAATAAACAGGTACAATAACACATTGTCAATTGAGAAAAAAATAACACGTACACATTTACACATTGTCAATAAAGAAAAAAATACTTAGTGGAGTAAACACTTACATAAGTCTTAATATTAGAGACAATGCCTCTATGCATTTCACTCATTGCCAATAGAGACATTATAACTAATTAAAATTTTTTGATACTAGTGACACTCTAGACTTAATTATCTCTGATAAAATGTTTCTGTTGATTCATAGAACAATACCTCTAGCTAAATTTATATAGGAACATAGGTCATGCATGTGAGCAAAGTGTCAAAGTTCATGCAGCAAGGTGGCACCAATTGAATTGGCGACCATGTTCAATGCTTGTAAAGAGTCGCCAGTCCATTTGGAGACTCCTAGGCACGTGAATAGGCTGAGCACGTAGGTTGAGACATGTCCCATGCATGCATAACAGACTGACAATCACATGGCGACAGTGTATGATCAGATTATACCATGTCTTCATTTAGATTGGTGCCCCCTTTCAAGAAATGTACCATGTCGCCAATTGATATGGAGACCACATTAAATGTTGCATGCATATTTAACCAACCTCATGCATTATCATCTGCAACAAACAAATGTAGTAACTCTCTAACAAGTAGTCTCTGATGTCATCTGCACCGAGATACATTGTTAACGCCCATTACAACGGAGAGACATATGTCTTTGATGTATCTGGGTTTGGTTTTCAAAACACTGATGTTGTCTGATTCACAATCAATAGAAACACAAGTTTCTTGCATTTTAAAGATAGATTGGAATCAAAATTAGAGTTTGGTCCTATATCACAAATTATATATCAAAATCCGTTTTTTTTAAACAAACCACGTCAAATTTTATCCGCTTAAAGTGAGAGATGATGAAGATGTTGAAAATATGTTCGTTAGTCACGAACATTCTGGTTTTAACTATATTGAGTTGTATACGTTACTCCAACAAAATATTCCATCTCAGTAGTCTCAGATCATCGGTCAATCAGAACGTGCAGACTCAGATGAAACCGAAATGCAATACTCAGATGAAACTGAACCGGAAGTCAACGTCGTTGATAAAGAAGAAGAATGAAGCGAGATGCTGGTCGATCAACTCTTGAACAACAACATTGAAGATGACGATCAAGTGCCAATACCTTTAGGTCATGTATATTGTCTGCCTCAGCATATGACAAACTTGGACTTGCAAGACAATGAGAGATCCTCGGATATGTTTTATAACTCGTATATGCGGTCAGAGAATGAATTAAAAGTGGGAGACAAGTTTCGTACCAAGGAAGAATGTGTACGAGCCATTAAAAAATATCACATGGATAACTCTATTAATTTTAGCATACATTGAACTGATTCGAGAAGGTATGTCATTATTTGTTGTAACGAGCTTTCCAAGTTTCGGCTTGCTGCGTCTACAGGAAGATAAGTAATTCTTGGAAGATAGCTTCCATAGAGCCACCTCACAGTTGTACTGCCATAAATATTGATTGCATGCATGAAGTTTTGTACGATATGTCTAAAAATTTGACATCCTACCTATCCAAAAATTTGTGAATACAGACAGGGTATGCTCTAACTCAACCATTATTTCAATACTACCTTAACGAAATTAGGATGTCAAATGCAGATGCAGAAAGGCGGTTTGATAACATTCCATTGGACAAGTGGACAAGGGCATTTGACGGTGGATATTGTTGGGGCCACATGACAACAAATCTTGTGGAATCTTTGGACGGCGTCTTTAAAGGAATTAGAAACCTTCCAATCACCGCATTGGTGAGATAAACCTATTATAGGTTGACATCACTTTTCGCAACAAGAGGAGAAAGATGGAGTTCAGTGTTGATGTTGGGTCAATTATTCAGTGAAAGCATAATGAAAGTGATGAAAGAGGAAACTATCGAAGCCAGCACACATGCAGTTACATTCTTTGACCATTATAGGAAAATTTTCAGTGTACAGAAAACAATGGACCATAATGAAGGGATGCCAAATTTATTCTATGATGTCAAACTAAACAAATGGTATGATTGTGGCAAGTATCAAGTCTTTCGTGTACTTTGTTCACACGACATGCGCACATGCTCGTCAGGATGCTTATAGCCATCTATCTGATGTTTACAAAGTCATTAACGTTATAAATGTCTACAACGAAGGCTTCACAGTGCTAGTAATGGAGGAATATTGGCCTCCATACCAATGGGGCATAGTTTGGCACAACGATGAGATGGAAGAAAGAAAAAAGGACGACCAAACAACACGCGTATAAGAACATAAATGGATTCAGCTGATAAAATGATAAGATTATGCAGTATATGTCGTCAGTCCGGACACAATCGGAAAAATAGTCCTAATGTCGGAGCAACCTCTTCATCATAATTTATTTTCTCCTTTTAATTGTTGTAACCTTATATTTTCATATATTAACGACTTTTTGTTACAACAAAGTTAACAACAAACAACACATATAACACATACAACAGACATCATAACAGAAAAACAAAAGATTTCTAACTGATTACAACAATCAAACTGATGTCATTTGGCCCAAACATCACTTCCCTCGCATCCTTGTCAGTCATAACGTGAATCCACCCACGCAGGCGATCATGTCTCTCGATACTTCTAATTTTTTCCCCTTCAGGTATGTCTCCTTCTAACCACCGATTCAGCTCCCTCTTTAGTTGGTTGAAACTTTGAATGTTCAAAAACAAATGTCCATCAGAGGCTTCTCGCTTTCCCGTAGCTGCACCGATACATATTATCAGTAATACAAAGATATGAGATGAGTTGTGAAAATAAATGATCAGAACACCTCTATTTATAGAAAAAATAGAAAAAAATCACTCAAGCCTGTTTCCAGTTGAATTGGTGACACCCTTATAGCATTTACACTGCGTCGCCAATTGAATTGTCAACCCCATATGTTGTCTCCAATTCAATTGGCACCCCAAAGTGGAGTACTTTGAAAAATAGTTTAAAAACTGAGTTATTTTGATAATCTTTTTAAAAGTGTGGTATTTTTGATTTAAAAAAATCTATTATTTCTTCTCTTTTATATTTCCTCAATTGTTTCTATCATTTTTCTAAAATCTACTAGAAACCTCCATGAGTTCACCATTTAAATATCTTGTGAAGAATTGAATTTCTCAAGTGTGGTTGATGTCTTATTCTCCTATCTGTTATTTTGGAATGCATTTGATGTAAAAATACTTTTTCTCCGTATTAAAATCTATTAAGGTTGAAAATTTGTGAAATTAATATTTTATTTTATTTTATTTTTAAAAACCACCTCCTGTATATTTATGGTCAATTAAACATTTGGATGGAAAAGATGTTGGAGCAGGTTCAAATTTACATTAATTAAATTTAAGGTGTCATTTTTATGCACCAGCAACACACCATATAGTTGGTGCCTCATGTTAGACGCCGCATACTATTATAATACTCTAAATATCAAAAATATTTTAATAAGAAATATTTATTAATTATTCTCTACAAAAATACTCTTTTAAAAATATAGAAAACATATATATTTCCCTATAGTCTTCTCCCTCCAAGACATTCATTTCTATTCTCTTCAAATTTCAAACAGATACTTAGAGGCTTAGGAAAGAAACTTGGAGACCTCGGTAAACTAATCATATTCAAAAGTGTAGTCTTGCCTTAGTGTCGGAAGTTTTTTCAATCTTCACTTGGCAAAGACGAATATGTTTGGTTCAAGTTTTAGAAGTTCTTTTTAACAAACTACCCAAACTAAATACATACAAGCAAAGCAACTTAACCGATTTTTGACATGAAACTCAAGGTTTGAAAAAGAGCAAGGAATTCCAATACTTACCCTAATGCACTGCGACTGCATCTCATCAAAACTTCACAAAGGGAGTTTTTATCACCTCATTTGGAATTCCATCATATATAAATTATAATCAACTGACAATGCGCGCATAATACCAAACTATAGAGATAAAGTTAAATCCAACAGAGGAAACTAGGAACTATATCTATTTCTACTATTCAATTTAAATAGAATACACAATTTTCAACTGCATGCTTCAAAATATCACTCCCATGCATTTAAATTCACTCTCACTGAATGGAGCATCCATTGCTATCCATGTTTGCCAAAGCAAGAAAACCAGTTGCTACAAAAACAATTTTAACAATTTAATCAGAAAGGATAACTTACAACTTTTATTCATTTCTTACATATTCTACTCATACATTAAAAATAACAGAATTGTTTATCCAAAAAGCCAACAGAACTTACATCAGTTACTATGATGGTTGGCAGAGAGATACGCAAAAATGATGGAAAACAAGATGACCAGTATGAAAATCTGCAGTGAGGATTAGCATTAGTTTATATTTTTAGAGACGAGGGACCAAAGTAAAAACAAGAAAAAGGATAAAAATAAATGTACCATTGTCGGGCCATATCCGCTCTCATTCCCCACAACATAAGATTTCCTGCTTAAATCAAAGAAAGGTTTGTTAGACTGTCAATGGTAAAAAGATACTTTTTAAAGTATTCGGATATTTGTATATGCCTTTTGGTTAGGAGACCAGATTCTCTGCAAGTTTTCTGTATAGCTTCCAGCCTGCTCAACGTTTTTGTTGCATTGGGATCATTTTTGTCAACCTACAATGGAAAATGATGAATCAGTTTAGAAGGAATAAGCCAGCTTTATAAATATCCTTAAAACTGAAAAACAGCTTTAGTTACATAGTGGAATGTTACTTAAATGGACTATGTAACAACAGCAGTATTTTAATAATCCATTTCTAAAAAAACCATCAAAATACATTTTAGAGCTATGGAATGAAGGGTGGGTGACGATTAGAGTTGTTTAATGTTCTGTGGGGAAAATAAAAAATCAGTATCAAAGTCAGCCAGGAAAGCTTTAAGTGGACGTGTGTAAGCTAAGTCATTGCTGCGCAAAAAATCAGATATTGTTTTCCTAATTGCATGGCCTTAAAAATCAATGATTGTTCAACAGGTTATTTGGCGTAGAATAACCTAGTCTTTCAAAGAAATTGGGAGACTTTGCAATCGAACAAGATTTTTAAAACAAATAAGGCTGTATCTGGTTTAATGGTTCAGTCGATGACTTGACACCTGTTGCAGTATTGCTACTACAGCGCTTCAAGAAAAAATGCCTATACACCTATACATACATGAAAATTCATATGCAAGGGGGTCTATATGCATCAACTATTTGTCACCCCCTCGCAACTAACTTAATGTGTTCGCTATTATAAAACATAAAATAGGAACATTATCAGGTGTGAAACAGAGTGGCATTCAGATTCTTTTGGTACAAATCTAATCATACTTTGTTTAGGACCAGGGATGATTCATACCTTGGACTCCAACATGGAAGAAAAATCAAAGAAAGCCCCATAGACATCAGTCATAGTCTTTGTCCGGTCAATCACTTTGGCAGTTAGACCTATAAATCGTAACCAAAATGAAAAGATAACAGCTAGTTCAACTTTCTTTTTCTTTAAAGAAACACATTGTAACCATGGGCAAAGAAAACCAACTACAACATGCCAGTCCATTATAGTTCCCAGATAAAAAAAATATTTTTTTTCAAATGAAATGAGGAAAGGAAACTATACAAATGCATAAACTATTGAATATAGATCAAGTATTATTCGTCCATTTTAAAACTAGGAATGTTCGCTATAAAATTTCAGCCTGTTGTCTTCAAGCACTTAACCAACATCCATATGGATAGAATGCTAAAAGACGTGTAGCTGCAAAGTATTTAGATTTTAATATTTGAACATCCTAGATCCAATTAGAGAACCCAAGAAAATATGTTTAATGACATTGAGCAGGCCCACTGTACAAGATAAGCGTTTAACATTAGGGGATCCCAAGATGCTAGTTTTAAGATTGATCTAGTATAAAGTAACATGGAATGCAAATTGCAGTAATTCACTATTCATGAGTGCATACATTTTTCCCAGGCATATATCAATTTTAGCCTAATGTTTAGCAGCAGCAAAAACAACCAAGCTTTTTCCCACTGAGTGGAGCTGGCTGCATAGATCAAAGTACGTCATAATGTTCTTACCTCGCCTCATTTTAACTACGCCTCTGAAGACATCAATGTTGTTGTAGCATAGTGCAAGTGTTCCAATTGCCATTATCTGTTACCACATACATACATCGAATAAGTATTAAAGTTACTAGAAAAAAGTATGAAAATAGCCATTATACATACATAATCATTAGAAATCAAATACATATCCAGAGAAAATAATATAGAAAAGAAAGAAAGAAAAACTCCCGAAATGTATGAAGGAAAAATAAGATCCACGCAAAATCCTATTAAACCTAGAAATTCCTCAACAAAAGTACTATTACTTGATTTAACTGAAATGAGAGGCCAACACTAAGAGAGCTACACCGCTTCTGCTTTTAGAACATCAGCAGCTTGAAAAAATTACTCTTATTCTGCGTCATATTGATTAAATTAAAACAAAAATATGTATGCTTAATTTAGTTATGTCAATTAATTTCCATTTACTAGTGATTTGCGATTAATTTGAGTGTTAACAAAGTTTAATTTGTGTTGTTTAGCTTTTCAATAAATGATTTATAACTTAAACATGCACAAAAACATTTGTGTTTAAAATGTGATTCAAATCAAAAGATCATGCATTGGAACCTTTTTAAGATTCAATATTATTAAACCCATGAATTTAATCACCATTGGAAATAGTGTATGTTCTTCTCTAGCATGCCTGTACCGAAGTGATGATATTTCAGCACCAATGCGCTACGTGGACAATTGATAATCTGTTTCTTTCATGCTAGTGTTTACTCAGCACTCTGGCACTCGGATTCTAAGTTTTGATTTCAAGCCAATGCCATGGTGCTAGACTCACTTGCAGCAAAATGAGTTTCTTTTGATAATCCTTTTCTTCCATGCTAGTGTTCGCTCAAACCTAGGCACTCTGGCACTCAGATTCTAAGTTTTGATTTTCAAGCCAGTGCCATGGTGCTAGACTCACTATCAGCAAAATGAGTTTCTTTTGAAAATGAAGGGGGAGAGAAAGGGACTTTTTTTGGAACCCACATGGACATTTTTCCCTTTTTCTCCACCTCTTCTACCACCTTCCTTTCTCTTCTCTCCATCTTCTTTTCTCCTTAATTCTTCCCCTATCTCCACCCCTCCCCCTTTTTTTCATTTTTATCATTTTCATCTTTCTTCTCCCTCTTTCTTAATAGATTCAGTCTCTGAACCTCCTCATCTCTAGCTTTAATCCACTCTCCCATGATTTTGGCCACTCCATTTTCAATATTCAGCTCCACCTAACTAGGTGTCTCCTTGATGCGTCTATTTTCATGCTCAAGTTCTCGTCTGAATTTTTGGTAAACCACTCGAGTTAAGCAAAGATTTGCATGATAGAATTACTATCACATCTTTTAGGCAGCATTGAACTTAAAGAACCAATATAATAATATAATATATTTTCATATTCTGTTTGAACTTGAGTAGGAAACCGCTATTGATTGAGCTCTTCTAAAACATAACATGAGATGCAAATTAAAAATACTTCAAACTGTTGACGAAAGATGTGCATTCTACATGACAGTTAAGTAATAAGTAATAATTAAGTAAAAGAACAACACCTGAGGAATAGCACAAAAGCGAAATATAGAGGGGTCTCGTAATGCAGACATGTATTTTAAGCAATCTTCAGCATGCAGCAAAGCATTAGTGACCATGTCGTTTAAGCATTGCACAGCCTTAACAGAGTTTTCCTCGTATTTCAAGTCCTGGATGAAAAAAATTAAATTGGAATACAAAAGAAACAAATCATACATTTGACAATCATGCATAAAATAGTTAAAAAAGACACTCATGTTAGTAATAACGTAACAGTATGCAAATAAAAGCTGTTTCACCATCACACCCTCAAGTTTTACAAACTCGTCTGAGAATCGTGAAACGGGGGAGACAAGGGTGAAAGAATGATTTAAATTGAAATAAATAGAAATTCTTATAGAGCCAAACCTCAAGTTTGCTAACATATTTACTCCAGATCTGCCGTGGCCAAAACATGCGTGACTTTGGTATCTCATTGATGTCTTCCAGATAATCTCGAATAATATTGGTTTTCTGCAATCTCAAAAGGTTAATTGAAATGTAAGTATATATTTGTGAGCATATTGTTTAGCTATATATTACTTTCATGATACCTGAAGAAACAAACCCATTGAATTTGAAAGGTCGTCTGTAGCCAGATCCTCCGTACCAGAGGCGTAGAATAGTTTTGATAAACCAAGCCCAACAAGTCCTGCCACATAGTGGCAATATTCATCATAGTCATCAATTGTCTCTACCTGCAAATTAGTACAGTATCTAAGTATTGCAAAAATGTTAATTTTATAGTAAGTTAGTAACACTAGTCTGCATGACTATTTGTTCACAGTTCTCACGACCCTCATTATATTTCCCTCCCCCTTAAATCATTAAAAACCAAACTACCAGAAGCCACGTCATCAAAAGGAATAATGAACATTATATTTATAGCAGTACATCAATCACAGAGGTTAACCACATCGAATGTAACTAACACTAATAAAAGGAATATATGCAAAACAGAATACATGTGAATAACTTACCTCCTTGCAAATAAATTTGGCCATTCCAGCACCCATTCTTTTGGTAATGTCTTCAATTGCATCCTGATAGCTGCAAAATTAATTGGCCAACATTTAATTTTTCATCATAGACTGCAAAGCCAAAACTCTAATCAGATACACCTAAGAAAAGCTACTAAAGGGAATGAATCTATAATCCACAACCCACATAGCACATCTCAAAGACCCAGACCAGATCAGCTGTTAAATACCTTCAATTTGAAAAACCAGACAAATCAGAGAACGAAACTTGAGTCTTAGGTTTATTTTACATGAAATCCTATCAAAGACCCAGAGGAATAGAAATTGACAGGTCACTAGCATCAGATGAAAATACATATAATATATAAAGCTATATAATATAACATGGAAGCAATCGATAGTTCTAAACAATCATGAACGCGAAACACCATGGTTATCATCAATCTGTAATCAATAATCAATATAATCTGTAAATATTTTAAAAGTTGCATGAATTTGATTATCACACCCATGTCATACCACAACACTGACTACATCCAAATTTTGGCACCCCAGACAGTAAACACCCACTTCCCCGGGTAAAAAAAATAATACGTAGATTTTTGCAAATTAAACAGCAACTCATAAACCACATATATGATGTATCACAGAATATCAAATTATGTCCCAGACAGATGTGCAAAGATAAGAACTAACTTCTTTCCAAGTTCCAGAAAAGCCGTTGAAACATGATGAAACTGGTCCATTAGAACTTTGTACTCCTTCGTGCCACCTTGTTACATAAAAAAACAATTAGCACGGTGATTAGCATCAATAAAGTTTGAGGCATGTTAACCCTAACTATTTTCCTGAAAATTGATGAGTACTGTCTACAAAATCCCTAAAACCATCCAATATGGGATGTAAAGCACATTTTAAAATCCAATCCAATTACTGAAAAACAATTTAGATGTGACTAAATTGAAATTTTACAAAGACAATCAAAAGATACATGCAACAAATTGGAAAGGAGTGATTAAAATTATATCCGATCTTATCTTACTCAGAATGGAATCAAGATTTTAAAATAGAAAGGAGCAAAAAGAAAAGGCATACTCACATCCAAAGTGCCAGTCATGATCATAGATGTGGCGATGAAAAGCTATTAGTATCGGTACCTTGACATCTGTCTCTACGCTAGTATCATCCTCTGTTAAAACAAGAAGAGTAGCAAAAGTATTAGATCCTCTCAATTTCTGAAGAGAACAGAACAGCCTTTCGATCAGAATAGTTTGAGATTCAAATATATAAAATTCATATTCGAAACATGATAGCCGCAACAAAGATAGAGATAGCATAACAGGTTTATACTTAGTTTCCAAACTAATTTTGTCTAAGATACATCAATCAGAGTATTTAACAACCAGAATTTTCCATAGATAAATATGATAATAAATTATTTTGATATTTAACAATCAATCAAAAAGTGAGTTTAGGATATTCGAGAACAAACCAACAGTATCAAGAGCGCGGAGAACCAAATAGAATATGCAAACCTGCAAAAGCCATAAGCAAAGTTCAGATAAACCAAAAAAAAACGATTGAGTAATGAACGGTTGAGATGAGAGATTAAAACTGCAAACAAAACTAACGGCATCACGAAGCTCGGGACGAAGCTGCTGAATAACGAGACCGAAACTTCGAGAAACTTTGTGGAGCATAGAGTAACAGAATCCCCAATGTGGTTCCGGCGGGATCTGCTTCTCGGCGTTCCTCGCCGCGATTTTGAGCTTCAGCAACGGATATAAGTCATCTGGATTCTTCAGAATCACTCCCAAAATTCCCATCTCGTTCTGTTTCTAAAACAAACTATCTCTCTTTCTTTCTCGAGGAATCGAGATATCAATGGAGAGAAATTGTGGCCATTTGAATTTTTGTCACTATATATTGGATCTTTGTAATTAGCGACAATTCGCAAGTGATTGTGATTGTGATAATTTTGGAAATTTGGAGTTTATTTGAGGTGGAAAAATATTGATACCAATTACTATTTCTCGTTAAGTTTCGTTCGTACGGTTCGAGATTCGTAGATTCGACTGCGCCTCGTGGTTAACTAAGAAATGCACTCGGGTTGAATATTAGAAAGAATTTTTTGTGTAGATGTATATAGGTGTAGTTTGTGTTGTTCTTCAACTACTAATATAAAATCATTCTTGACAGCTAATCAGCTATGCCTATTCTTTTTTAAATAATCTAGAGCTATAGCAACACTCTCGTGTGTATATATATATATATATATATATATATATATATATATATATATATATATATATATATATATATATATATATATATATATATATATATATATATATATATATATATATATATATATATATATATATATATATATATATATATATATATATATATATATATATATATATATATATATATATATATATATATATATATATATATATATATATATATATATATATATATATCCAAAAGAGAGTATATATAAAATATTTTTTATAAAAATATTTATGCAATAATTTAGTTTTATAAATTTTAAATAATAATATACTATTTAGAAATATTATTTTAATTGTATAAATAAATATCACTAACATAAATAAATATATTTTGCCTATATTTGGATTCATACATTATTTTAAATATATTTATCTTTATTTTCTTTAATTATACCATAATTAAATAACCGGTATATTTGTATGGATTATGATTTGAATACTCATGCGTTTTATGAATACTGGTGAATTATGTGCAATTGTTTTCAAAATGTAATAAGAATGAATTTTGTTTTGACATTATGTATAAAAATATTTTAATGAATAAAAAACTAAAAACTTGTTCTCCTTTATAAAAGTATTTGGATCACCAATAAACGTTCTCGTATATAAAAATAAAATTCAATATAAAGTATTTAAATTTTTTTGTGTATACAAATATTTGTCTCATATGTTTTACTATATTATCAATGACTTTATTTTCTCTGTTTCAGTGATTCACTTATTCTCGTAAATATATATATTTTCTCTTACAATCTCCTAATATATGTAAATATTATTACAAATATCTTTTCGTAGGATACCTATAAAGATCATAATTATGTAATAAAATTTTAAATAATTACCGATTTTTGAAAATAAATTTGAAATTTCAAATATTGATATTTGAACCGTTTCTAAAATAAAATATTAAATTTATCAATATTTTTAATAAATATTTAATACATAATAAAATGTATTTAATGATAGTCACGTAATGGATATGAACAATACATTTTAAAAATATATTTATTAATTTTAGTATTTTTCATAAATAATACAACTATTTTAACATTTAATATTGTATTACATAATTTTTTAAATTATTTAATATTGTATTAAATTATAAATTATAAATGAAAATATATTACAATCATTAGTGAACTTTTTTCATTATTATTCAATATTTTGAACAGTAACTACATGTGTACGTGTTCCTGTTATAATTGTTTTATTGTGTGTTTTAATTAGTTATGATTTGAATCATAAATATAATTTTTTCATATCTACAAATATTTAGATCAACCATATATTTTCTCCTATGTAAATATTAATTTCGTTTTGACATTATTTATAAAAATATTTTGATAAATATAAAACATGTTCCCATTTGTAAAAATATTTGTATTATTAATACATTTTTTTCATGTATATAAAAATAAAGTTTAATATAAAGTATTAAATTTTCTTGTGTATTAAAATATTTGTCTCACATGTTTTATTATATTATCAATGACTTTATTTTCTGCGTTTCAGTAATTCACTTATTTTCAATTTAACATTTTATTTTAGAAACGATTCAAATATCAATACTTGAAATTTCAAATTTATTTTCAAAAATCGTTAATTATTTAATATTTTGTTACTTAATTATGATCTTTATGGGTATCCTACGAAAAAATATTGTAATAATACTTACATAAATTAAGAGATTGTAAGAGAAAATATATATATATATATATATATATATATATATATATATATATATATATATATATATATATATATATATATATATATATATATATATATATATATATGCGAGAATAAGTGAATTACTAAAACGCGGAAAATAAAGTCATTGATAATCTAATAAAGTGTGTGAGACAAATATTTTTATACACGGAAATATTTAAATACTTTATATTGAACTTTATTTTAATATATGAGAATTTATATATATAAAAGTAGGGATGAACTTATTCAAAGAGTAAGTTTTTTAAATTTATTCTCCATCATAACCTTTAAATTGGATCTAATCTAGTAGTTAAATTAACATTTTTACTTATAACAATTCGATTAAATCTAATTTAAAGGCTATGATTGTGGAGTAAATTATAAAAACTTATTGTTTGAATAAATTGATTCCTACTCTCTCATATATATATATATATATATATATATATATATATATATATATATATATATATATATATATATATATATATATATATATATATATATATATATATATATATATATATATATATATATATATATATAAGAATAAATGAATCACTGAAAAGGGAAAAATAAAATCATTGATAATATAATAAAGAATGCGAGACAAATATTTGTATACACAGGAAAATTGTGGTAAGTATAAAAATTACTATAACATTAAAAAAAAATTAAAACAATAAATCACTACAAATATTCTTATTCAAATTCATTGATTAAATTGTTTATTACATAAATTTTTTTCTTAATTTTTTATTTTTATTTTGTATTTTTTTTCCAGTAATATATTTTTCAAAATTCTTATCTTTCTTAATTTGTGCAAATATGGTAGCACCAATAGAAAATATGAATTAAAAATTAGAGTAACAGCAACAACATTAATATATTATTAAAATATGTATTTATTATTGATATTTTATTTTATAAGTAGAATTTTTCGTGTGCCCCTTAATAAAAAATATTTTAATCAATCATATATTTTTTTCAATATATAAATATTATTTGTTATTTGACATTATTTATAAAAATATTTGAATCAATATTTAACTCGTATATAAATTTTATTTGTAAATTTTTTTTTTGGATTTAGTTTAATCTATTTTAAAAAATAATCAAACATATAAAAATCAATTATACAACTTCAAAATTATTTTAATTTGCTTAATATATAAATTAAATATACACTTATCAACAATCACATTTTTTATACTATGTGTCATATACTTAGTTTGAGCTTGATGATCTATTGAGATATCAGTGCGTTTGCAACGCACGGATGTGTTACGCACATTTGTTTTTAAAATATAATAAGAATGAAAAAATAGAAAGACAAAAATTATTTAATCAAAAAAGTTTATTATTTTTAGAAAAAAAAACATATATTTTTTTATATTTGTAGCATAAATATAGTTTTTCTATATATACAAATATTTAGATCAACCGTATATTTTTCTGTATGTAAATATTAATTTTATTTTGACATTTTTTATAAAAATATTTATGTAATCTTTTAGTTTTATACATATCAACTAATAACATAGTATTTGTAAATTGCATTTTAATTATATAAATAAATATTATTAAATAAACACAATTTGTCCGTGTTTGACTTCCTACATTATTTTAACTAAAAAATGCCCCTCGTGGTTAACTAAGAAATGCACTCGAGTTGAATATTAGAACGAATTTCTTGTGTAATTTTTTTTTAATGATGATCTATAGAAACAAAATTATGATACAAAAAGGATAGGGGGACCAAATCAAAACCCTATTTAGAATAGTCAAACCTAAAGAAAGACATATCAAGCCGATTCTTTACAAAATCAGCTCTTACACAAGCAGGAATGGAGGAAAAGTAAGTAGAGTCGGTAAGAGTGAGTCATATGTTAGCAAGACTATCTACACAGTTGTCCCCTTTCCCTTTCCGAAAAACATGAGAAACTAAAAAATTCTAATTAGCAACTATATTTATACAATTCACCCATTTATTTCTAATATTTCGAGAAACTAAAGAGGGGGATTTAAAAGATTTTACCACTGTCTTCGAGTCAGTTTCTAACCAAAGATTTTTCTAATTCTTCTCATAAGCGAACTCAATTGCAATCATTTCACCCGAGAGTTCCTAACCTTCCATTGATCATTTGTAGGCACCTTATTACGTAAGATCTTCCAAACAAAACAAGATTTCAAGGGCGGAATTGATTTAGACCAAATCCAATGCCACCAATCCTCGTGGGCTCCTTTCGGTCTCTTAAAAGCATACCCAACTTTATTGGATAACTCCCCCGTGGAAGAATGAACCCAGACTCGCTAGTCTGGCCGAAGATCAAACGGAATGCGGAAAGCCAAAATAAACACCTGAAGTGCAGAGGGAACGGGAGTAATAACCTTAGAGAAGTCCTAGCTACCATTATCCATGATGGTGCTAACAGTTTGATCAACTATATCAACAGGAGCCTCCGGATTAATATGCAGCGGGATGCCACACCACCTATCATACCAAAGACTAATAGAATCACTGTTACCAAGATTCCAGGAAGTGTCGGCATCAATCATCGGCATCTCCTCTTTGATGTTGGACCAAATGGAAGGAAAATATACAATTGATAGTCTTGCCATTTATAAAAACTCGCTGCCTAGGCAAAACAGCCCAAGGCTCAGAAAAGTTATGCAACTCCCAGGCAAGCCTAAGATTATAAGCTTCATTTAACTTGATGAGCGATCGAATACCAAGCTCACCCTCCTCTAAAAGAAAGAACATATTCTTCCACGCCACTATAATGACCTTATTCCTAGTAGTTTCACCACTCCAA